CAGCGATCATGCAGTAGAAACATGCTAGTGGGCGTGAACCAAACAGTTCCTCCCTTCTAGAAGTTCACATATTAATGTATATTAAATATAATTGAGCCATTTTGGCATTAGATAACTTGTTCATTCCTTCAGGAAGTGAGATGTGAATTCTACTGTCGAACCAAAATAACATATTTGGTTTTAAGCAAACAGTTGCTCCTCCACCCCAAAAAGGAGGAAAGAGAAAGGGAGAGGAAGAAGGGACAGGATGGAAGGAGTGGGAGGGTGTCTGACAACCTGAGGAAGCCAGGCTTGTCTGTCCCAGCTACACACACTGTCAAATACCCTTTTCGCTTATACTGGCTTTCTGTTACTTAGAACAAAGAATCCTTACTTTTATAAAGTCTCCAAGGATAGCTTTCAAAACATTTCATGTACACATGTGCTTGCTCTCTCACATACATGTTACAGCACATTTGTGTATGTAAAACCTTACCAGGTGGTATGAGAACCATGTGTTTTGGGAGCAGAAATTGAGGCATTCATTTAATGACTGCCCAAAGCCATATATACACTTAAGAGTATCACCGGGAGTGAAAACTTAGTACTCAGGCACAAAAACCTGTGCTCTTCAATGCTTTGCAACACTGAACAAACGATCTAATGAGAAAGTACTGAAACCTATGGCTCACTCGTTATTTTTCTCTTAAGACAGAAGATGCTAACGTATGAGTTGATTTTCAAAAAACCCACAGTATCCAGGTTATGCAAGTATCCAGGTTAAAGTGCAGCGCTGGCACTCTGCAACAAGTCAGTGGGTTTGGAGCTACAGTTTTGGCACCCGTCTCTAAAAGGTTTGCCATCGCTGCTACATATACCCTAAATAAAGCCACACTTCTTACTGCTACATGCTAGTCTAGCAAAGCCTCTCAGCTCTGTAAGGAAAATTTCACCAAGTCCAAACGCTGAGCCCGTCCTTCATTTTTCTACAACCATCCAGGAAAACTGCTTTCATGAGTTCAGACCTCTTCATAGCTTACGGCACGTCCGCTTACCCGTCACCCAACTCACTCTTTACAGAGTAAATCTGGAAGTTTCTTTACTTGTTGTGTTTGTGCCAAGTCTGGGAAAGAAAGATTGAAGGTTCCATCTGAATTCTGTGAGCCCAGCAATTAACACTGGCATATGGCCCTTACAGGGGAGAAGTATTCTGCATTTATGTTCAAACTCCCATTCTACTACACACAGACAATGACATCAAGTTCAGGCTTCAAGAAATTCTTAGATCAAAAAATATTTTTTCGTAAAGATATTAAAACCAAAGGGATTATGAACGTTTGTACAGCACCTAAGAGTTTACTTTTACACACACTATAACACAGACCCTCCTAGAAATCCCCACAGTTAACAGAGAATAAATCACCCTCCACTTGGCAGTTAGAGAAACTCATGATGAAAGCAGTATAGTGATTTGCCCTGAGTCATTCAGCTAGAAAGTGACAGATTGGGATTCTAAAACAAGTCTTCCAGCTCCAAAGTCAATATTCATTCCAAGAAAATAAATACTTTACCACTGGCTGCCAAAGTAGTTTTCTATCTGCTTACTCTAAGGATTTTTTTCCCTCAAACCTTTATGCCAGAAATGTTTAAATAAATCATCAGCCCCTCGTAAGTGCCTTCAATACAAACCTGTGTTCGTGAACTCTTGCTCGGCAAATCTGCCACATGGAGTGACTAGAAATGTGTCTCGGGGCTTCTGCCTGGAGCTGTACACACTCAGGTATCTCAGGAAACTTGGTATCCTTAATAGTTACATTTCAGACAAGACTCTTTATAGAATGTCCTATGTCTCCTTGCCTGCCCTGAGACTGATTAAAAACAACTGAACACTCTCCTGCTTCTATTTAAGAACTAGTTACAGGCAATCAAGGCTACAGCCAGACCCCATGTGCCGTACACTGATGGTGCCAGGGGGAAAAACCACGGATCTCGACTTCAAGGCCCCCGCACACAGACTGCAGGGGAGAGGGAAGGTCAGAGGAGGCTGCGGTCACAAGCCCGGGTAAGACGCAAGAACAGACGTCCAAGGTCGGGGCCGAACAAGGTCCAGATGGTCCTCAGGCAAAATCTAGGGGTACACAGGCAGGTTAGGGCAGCACAGACCTAGAGGTAAGGAACGATTCACCAGCAGTCCTTGCTGACATTATACCCAGACCCTGGCGCCTGAGTGTGGACCGGAAGAACAGGCAGGAGTAGACGTGAAACGCCAGCACCCAAGGCTAAGAAGAAGGAAATACACGCAGACGGAACAGATATGTCAAGCACAGAGGAAGCCACCCACTATAGAAAAGTAAAAGCAACTGTCCCAGAGTGAAGTGCAGATGCATCTCAACACAAGGACAATCAGAAAAGGAAACCAATACACACATTCTCCCGCCTTCACACAGAACCTGTGTCAGTTACCCAGTCATCCTCTCAGTGACTCTGACACAGATCACAGGTCCTGAGCACGGACGATCACTCTGGCTAACCCTGTGCTTTGGGACTGAGGAAACTGGGGTCCACAGAAGTACGGTGTCCCAGGCTGGAAAGGTTAGAGGCAGAATAAGCACCAGAGCCCTACTCACAGGCCCTCAGAAACCAGGACTCTGCCCCATCCACCGCCTGTCTTCCCATACTCATTCACATGACTGTGTGTTCCTTCTACCATGTTTCAAAGCTCAATTTAAATATATTATAACGGCTCCTAAAATGAATTTTAATGATAATAAAGCTTACCTCAAAATTATTTATACTCTAGTAATATAATCTTTCATAAATCTACTGGGAAATATCCTAACAGCCATTTATATCCCTCTTTATCTGCAGTAGTTACCCTAGAAAATGGAATGTAGATTAGTTGCCGTAACTCACTGCTGTTTTATTATTTTATCATTATAAATAATGGTCAAGGTTAAAGATAATAGTGGTAATATAAATCTAATCTAACACATATAATGAAGTCTATATGCTTAATAACTAATAATTGACTACTGAAAATATATGTTGAGAGAACAAATACTTTGAAAATGCACATAATTATTCTCACTCATAAGTAGTGATACTCTTTCTCAAAGACACAAGACTCTAGAATCAATCTTACCTCTGACCAGAACAATCTTTCCTAAATGAACTTCAAGAGATAACATCAATTTGTTCCTGACAGACGAAAACCAATCATCTTTCTTTATAAGAAAGCAGAATTCATCAAAACTCCAAATATGGTACTAAAAACTCAAACTAATGCCATTAATTAATTTCCAACAAATCTCTAGAAAAGTGTTGCTGCTAACTTTTCGTATTCCTTAAGCAAACTATGGAATATAGCTAGACTTCACAACACCCTGAGTTCATCCATTTCACTTCACAGTATCCACATTCCAGTGAGCATCAGAAAAAGCCCTGAGATAACTATGCAACCAAGGAACTTCCCTGAACCCCAGCAGTTTCTTAAAGCCCTTCTCCTAGTCTCCCATGTCAAAGGTTCTAAAGGGTACATTCAACAGACTTTACACTGGTGGTAAAGAAACGGAACAAACCACAGCAGGACCTTACGCAGGTGTTCCCAACTAGCCCACCATGATGTCCTGTCAGGAAAGCCTCTGGGTCCTAAACCACCTATTACAATGTTGGAATTTGATTGGTTCCATTAAAAAAGCAGAATGCCAGAACTTTTCCAATGAAATATGCAAGTAAAGTATTTTTAAAGTAAGTTTAACAGCTCCCCACTAACTGTTTGCAGATCACAAAACTCCACAGAAAATCAGGGACCATCTAGATCTCTATCATATGTCCTTCCAATTAAATGTTCACTTGTTTTGTCATTAGGAACTTTGCTATATTCAGTTTCTTTACAGAAAGCTTACAACTTCATACTTCACCAAATGCTAAAACCTTAAGGGGAAGTAATGATAAGAAGGGAATTAATACTGAGCATTGTGATCAGAAGATTTTTTTTTTTTCTGGTCTTTTTGAGACAGGGTTTCACTCTGCAGTTCAGGCTGGCATTGAACTCACTTTGTAGCCCAGAGGATCTTGAAAGAGGCTCTTACCTTCAAAAGGTAGGTAAGAGAGCAGGCTGGCACATGCACCTGTGGAACCTTCTACTGTATCATGTTCACATCCATCAGAAACCTTGTATTTCCAAGGTTGTTAGGGAGATGACTTACTTGAGCTGGTATTTACAGCTAGTATTTAAGCTCTCTTAAAACTACAACAATGAAGCCACATGTTGTGGAACATGCCTGTAACCCCAACACCCAAGAGGTGGAGGCAGGAGATCACTATGAGTTCAAGACCAGCCTGAACTAAAAAACACTGACTGACCACAAAGCATATCAGCATGAATGTACCTAATAATTACAAATGGGTGACAAATGTAGAACAAAATGCAACTTTTAAAAAGTCACATCTTAAAACCATTGCTCAGAAAGATGGGGGAGAGGCTCACAAAAACAGGGAACAGCAAGTGTAAATGCCTATCAGCATTGTCAGTGGTAATACTCACCTCCCACCTCAGTCATCTAAAGAGCACTAAGAGGCCTCCTAAGTCGTCCCTTTTCTCTCCCTCCAGAGACCCCACCCCGCACATTAGATGGAATTTGTCATTTAATTAAAGGAGGAGGGACCAAAAGACGAGTAAGATTGTCAATTTTCCAATTTTTTCCAGGAAGTCAACTTTCATTCCTACACCATCTCACACATAACCCCCCAACAAATGTTCAAAGAAGTAAAGACACCTAACAATCTCTTTAAGACTAAAACTATCTACCAATCCATGGTCCACAAAATGCTCTGCAGAGAACTTCAGATATACACAAGCCAATAGCTTCTCAGTAAAACCCTGGTAAGTATCACAAGCAAAACTTTACTCACAACTCACACAAATCTGCATATACCAAATCAAAGAACTCTCTTTGATATGTGCACAATGCTTGTATTTCAAAACTCAAAAGCAAATTACTATTTCAGAAATGACTTACCAAGACTTGGGCTCTCCAAAATGGAGATAATTAATGCTGTAGAGGTCCATATCCTCGGTGTGCCATGCGAATGTGGTCTTCCACATGCCAAAATAGAGATAGGGGGTATTTACACCCTCGATGGAAATACCACACTCCTCTTCCACCACATCCAAGACTGTATTTAGGCGAGCTATGTTCCACTCATCCACACCCTGGACCAGGAAAGGGGGAGAAAGAGAAATCAAATGTCAATAAATAAAGATAGCCTGTACTGATGATCACTATCTGCCAATTATTACAACATATATTTTAATCCACTGAAAAAATGAAAACTGCAGCAATCACTCAAGAGCCATGCAGACATCCGTTATTATTAATACAAAAGTTATTACCACTATAACGTAGTATATAATTATCAGTATAAAATTATATCAGGTAACTTCCTGATTCCAAATGGAAATACATAAAAGTTAAGCACCCACTTCACACTTGCTACTAGCAAAAAGTCATTAATTCAAAGCAGAGGATTCAGTGTGCGATTTCCATTTTGGCCAATCTTTTAGTCTGGGGGCTTTGGGGTTTATTTGTCCATTGCTTTTTGCATGTCAACATCAAACTTCATCTCAAGAAACCAACAGCAAAAGCTATCTTCTGACATCCTTCTCTCCTCTACAACCATTTAAATTAGAGTGTATGATAAATTCTTCCCTAAAAATTCTACTCTACTTATTGGAAAAGCTCCTAGCACTATTCTAACCCATAGACCATTGTGCTCATAGTGATCCTTCAATTAACTGAACATTAACCTCATACAGTATTTTGAGGAGAAAATGTAAACACATAATTTCTGCTAAAAATACATATCCAAACTCTGGTAAAATTGCTGGAATAATACAATTTTATGTAACATAACCTGGGTGGTGACAGGAGAGACAAAGAAGGTTAGAATCCCTGTTCTAAGTTAAAGTGATAGGACATGATTCTTGTTTGATTAGAATGTACTGATTTAATACACGCATACTCTTCTCATAATCAGAGTCTAAATACCTAAAGCTGGGCCTGGTGGTGCATGCCTGTAATCCCAGCACTTGGGAGTCTGAGGCAGGAAGATCACCATGAGTCTGAGGCCAGCCTGGATTATATAATGAATTTAAGGCTAGCCAGAACTGCATATCAAGTCCCTGTCTCAAAAAAATAAATCTAAATTTCCGAGACTGAGCAAATTCCTATGCAGAGAAACTCCAATGCCCTAAAACCTATGTCAGCTTCCTCATGGTGCTATTACAGCGTGGTATTAAATTCTGTTATGTGTTCTTAAAAGGCCTTTCCAGTAACTACACCAGTGACCTGGCATATGACCACTTCTGATATTTCTCTTACACACTGAAGGACTTTCAGGTTTGTCTGTTTTCACTTTGCTCTTTAAATGATTCCCTAATAAGTGTACTACTCTTACTTCTTCAAACTTTGAGTCAGAAAAATGATTGACAGAGCAGAGGATATAATTTAAATGAAGCAGAGGATATAATTTAATCAGTAAACTCCCCCCAAAGTAGCCACTCTATCTACAATTTTAGCTCTTACTGGGAAGTCTGTAATTTGAAAACTGGTCAGAGCAAGAAGAGTGAGTATCCTTTAAGATACAAGGTTCCAATTTAGGAGTCCTCACAAAAGTTCAATTGAATTTTGTAAAATATTTCATCTCACTCTATTTATAGTGATGAAGTCTCTTAACTCTGGTCCAATCAGGTTTCAGTCCCCTCACTCTAATAATAGAATCCTATTTAAAACTCATTACCGAAGCAATGAGTCTGGAGTAATAAATGAGTACCATAATATAGAAACCATTTTTAAAATGAGCAAGCTTGCAAATTTACACACACACAATTCCACTGAAATTCCTATAGGCGAACATATCTGAATTTTATTTCTGTCTGGCGTTATCTTTCCAAAGTGATCAAGGCTAAATCCCTAGAGAACAGAACTCAGGGCACGTGCTGAGCGCCAAATATTTCTTCACAAATCTCTGAGGGTTCTAGGGTCCTCCCAGGGTTTCTCAGAGTATTAAATATGCTAATCTGGAAAATAAAATGTACAAATTCTTAAAACAAAGGTAATACACATTCCCCTAGACAATCTAACTGGAACATCTTCCCCAAAACAAATGTTAAACATTGAGAAGTGACACTAAAACGCTTTGAATTTCTCCCCACTAAAGAGCAAATAACACTTCTATAGCAGCTTTTTCTGCACAAGGGAAGGTTGCCAGAATGCTGAACATTAATGCTAAAATAATTTAGCATTAGTAATAATTTCAATTAAAGAATTACGCAAATATTAAGAATAATCAGTATTAACACAGCAAGATAAATCTTACTTCTGCAAAGCTGGATGTGGTGGCGCACACCAGTAATCCCAGCACTCCAGACGCAGAGGCAGGAGGATTTCAGAGAGTTCAAGGCCAGCCTGAACTACATAGAGAGACCCTGTCTCAAAAATCACTGCTTCAAACTCACTTCTCCAGTCTTTGTTCTCTAATATTAACTAAGCTGACTAACTGCTCCCAAGGTCCAGCTCCACGGAAGCTTTCTGTAAGGATGCCAGGTCTCCCTCACTCACACAGACGAGGAGTACACCTAGCTTACGGTTTGCGCAGTGTACACCAAATGACACCTTTTTATCCTACAATATATACGCACTAAGATATTTAAAACAATCCCATAAAACAAACAGTATCATACCCAAATGAACAAATGAAGAAATTAGTACTCCAGATAGGCAGTAAATGATAATGATTAACTCGTAGCTATCTGACTCTTAAATCTTCATTTTTAAACTCTACTTTTGCAGTCCTGATCCTCTCCTTTTAAAATATTACTTGTCGTTGTCTTCTCTCAGGATCAGTTGTCAAGAGACAAGCAAGAAGCTAAAATTTAGAGGTGGCAAACCCAGAAAGCTGTGACAGCCCTCGCACCAAGGGGTACGGCCATCCTACACACACACACACACACACACACACACACACACACACACGGTAAAATGTTTCACTTGAGGACTGGTACCGTAACAGGACTGGTTCAGTGTACAAGCAGTCTCCAGAAAGTGCCCCGCTACAAACAAGCCCCATAACGAACAGTGATACACCACTCAAAACTAAAGTCAAGTCTGCAAACCATCTCCACACCAGCCCAAGCCCACACACAAATGCCTCTTCTCCATTCTGCCCTCTAACAAAGCTCCTCCATATGATGTTCAGCAGGGGCACGGAGTTACAGTCCCCTGACCCACAGTGGGCTGATATTGTCTCCCTCACCCCCACACCTTCGCCCTAGTCAACCAAGACTGTACTGCCCCATTTGTCTACGTATTCTGCATCTGTGTTCTGAACTCATCACTGTACCATGATTCATGCACACATATGTAACTAAGACATTTACTAGGCATCTTTCCTTTGAATCACGGTACCTTCCTCTTATCAGGAATCAGACGTCAGTCCAAAGGAAGCCCTAAGTCTTCAATACCACAGACAGAGCTGCAAGGCCCTGGCCATCCTGGAGTCCCTCTACACTGCTAGGGCTCAGTCACCAGAAAACCGAAGGGTGCCACTGACGCAGCGTGCGTTTTAGGAAACCTGCCACACAGTAAGCCTTCCTTACCTAACACATAAGAGTGATGCAAACACTGTATTAGCCCAATTCTTCCCAAATATGTCCAATGTAACATTAGTCCTACCGGATGCCATAGTCAAAAACCTTCAGCCTCCTTTTCTCTTCCTGTTAGTCACAGTGCTAACAGGTACCTGAAAGGCTCTAAGATGTCCTACTGTGCAGGCCCTACACATTCAGCAACCCTGTTTAAGCCTGCTTGAGTCCACACTGCCCAAATATTATTTTACAATGGACTCTTGTTTGTATGATACATTTACATCCTATTACACAGGACTGTACAGAAGAATGTGCTACAAAAAATGCTATGATACATGGTTCCCTAAACGCATTAGCCTAACTGTAACTCAGCAGTAAGATAGAAATAATTCTGGACCATATCTGAGGTGACACTTCAGAACCAAGGGGAATATGAACAGGTGGCCAAATACGTTCACTTCTATTGTCATAATACATGTATGTAATTTGATTATGTCCCCTAAAAGTACAAGGGTAGTGTAAATTAAATGCAATTAAAACATAAAAGGTACTTCTAAATGAAGACAGACTAAAATTAAAATTAGCACGAAAAAAGAGAAGACATGATCAAACTTCACAAAACTATCAAATATACTAATAAACACAGCATGAACTTTAAAAACACACACAGATGATGGCACATCCACCAGACTACAGAAAAGGTTAAGACAAAAGCTTGACAATTAGTAAACTTATGAAAATCACATTTAGCAGACATACTCTTTCTGTCCTCGCTCAACGAACAGTAAAATGGAACGAAGAATCTGAGTCTCAAAGAGCAGCCTAGTACTAGAATACACCGCACTGGAGTTCAAAGTTCTGCAGTCACATGCGGATTCTACCGCCTGGCAGTTACAGAATCGGAGGTTCTCCCAGAGGCTCTTCGTGACAGTGGGGCTATGACTGATACCCAAACAGGACACAACAGACTTGGCCACCCTGTAAGCACTGTGGTAAAGATCCCACCTCTCACCGGAACTGCTTTCAAAACACTACCCCTTCACAGCAGGACTGCCGTCCCGAGGCCTCCAAGGTTGCCTTCCACAGAGAACAGTGGTAAAGACAGAACTTCCAAGTTTATGTTAAAACAAACTTTTGAAAACGTGTCTTCTAACTGAAATTTTAATTTTAAAAAGCTGGGGTGACATAAAAAGAGTAAGTTATGTATGTACATGTACCAACTCCCCACAACGAATGCAATCATTATGAACTACAAACGTATACTAATAAACATTAAAATTTGAAAAACTAAAAAGCTGGGGTAGTTTTCAGCTTCTGGTATCCCCTGGTGCTCACGGCCCACCAGCCCTCGGGGGTGCTTACCAAAGAGCACATCGGAAGTGAAGAGCGAGCGACAGAACAGGAGTTACAAACTCGCATGGCAAAGAAGGCGGGTAATCACAGTAAAGGAAGCAGGCAGGTGAACGGCAAAAACGGAGTACACCGGAAACAATCTACCACCCTGTCCAACGGGGGCAGCGCAGACTCAGTTCCCGCCTACTGCTGTCACTGGGATGCTTCCAGACCTT